TCATACTCAAGTTTAAAACAACAACTACACTAAAGCTATTCTGTTATACCTGTATGCAAAAAAAAACATTTCATAGTTCAGCAATACTGATCAATCTAATAAACTTAAACCTACACCATCCTCCCTATTCTGGTATTTTAAAGAGTACTTAGCGTAAATATTAAGCAACCTAACTAATAGGGTTCCAACTCCCAGCAACAACAAAAATAAATAAATAAAAAATAGGGAACCACCCCTCACGCTCTACCTCATGATGCTTAATCGACGTAATCAACCTTAATTTGATGCAGTGTGAAAAAAAATGCACAGAAATCAATTATTTTTCAAGAAATATTAAATAGATTCAACATCTTTCTTCAACAAAATTGCAGACTGCACAGATGGTACCTTCCCAAAGGAAAAAGTACTATAGCTTACTAGGGTGTATATATTAGACTTAATAGTCACTATGTACAGTAAATGACTTCTATTCATTTTACATCAAAATAAAACTTTGGGTGTCAGATAATTATTTATTAAAAGCTCGACATTTTAAATGAGAATAAGAAAGAAAAGTATGTCTTTGTGCCCCCTTTTCCCAGTTAATGCCCTATCGGCCCCCCTGGCTAAACTTTGCTAGATCCGCCCCTGCACAGTTACCAGCGTCAGCTACGTAGAAAAAGATCCTGGAGTAGAAAGTAATATTAAATACATTCTAACAACAGCTGATCAAGCTTAAACGTGCTGCTGTTGTTCAGCCGCTGGTTTCCTCTTTCTGGCGCAAAGTGGACCAAAAACAAACGAGAGACAGACTCGCGACAGAAAAGCTGATCAGCTGATCATTAAGCAGTTTCATGATTGAAGTAGCAGCAAGAAGATGCAGTCGCTTGTTAAGCTTAACGCAGGAATGCTTTACAAACATTCAGAGATGGACTTACACACTTGCTTTACTTCTCTCGGGGATAACTTTGTTGGAGATGAAATGCCGGGTTGCTAGCGAAGCTCCACATGCTATCCAGACCACCGACAGGTCGCATGCCACAGCCGCTCTATCACGTGATGCATACTGCTCCGACGTGCTAACGTTCTGAGGTGAGTTACGGCGTGTTGCAAGTTTTGTGAGGTGCTTTCGTGATATTTAATGGATCGGATTACATTTTTTATTTTTCTCCGATATCCGATCCAGTAATTTAGGTCAGTATCAGACCGATACCGATACGTAATATCGGATCGGTCCATCTCTAGTGGAGAGAGCAGCTGCAGCAGACTGATGGAGCAAACATCTCCAGCAAACACCTCCAGCAAACACATGCGAGCAGAATCTGTGTCGAGTTTTCAGGTAACCAATCAGAGTGCACCTCGACTCCTGGCGAAGTCTGAACCCTGAGCTGATGTAAACGTCATGTCTGTACAGAAGACCCGCTGCAACCGTATGATGTTGGTGGAAAGATGAAAATATTACTGTAGTTAATGTTTTTCTGAGTTATTTGTTTTTTATGTGGTTTTTCATCTTCTTTGACTGCTTTAGTCTCTTCATCATCAACTTCTTTTGGTCTTCTTCTTCTTTGCTTCTTCATTACATCCAGACTTTGAGTAACATGAATGTTATGAAGTTTATACTTTGGAACAGAAGCTTTTAACAGAATGCTGAAGTGTGTGAAAAGCCTTATAACTTCTTCCATCTGAATTTCGGTCACTGGGTCTGAATCATGAAGCCAATAGGCTTTGAACCTGCTTTACTTGTATAGCACGACTTAACCGGCTCAGATCTGTGACCTCAGCAAACACTTTCCGATGAGTTTGCAGTCTCAGTTTCTAGTTTCAAGTCTGTTTGCAGTCAGAAGAAGACTAAAGAGAGGTAGGTGTTAGTGTGTGATTGATAAGTCCATTGGGCCCCTTCATTTGTCGTGGTGGATTCCAGAACATCGAGATGGTAAGACCCAAAGCACTCCACGCTCTGCTGCAGGGTTTTGTGCTAATTAGCACGCTAAACCCATGCATTTTAACCTCTGAGAATGTTAGCATGCCGTTAGCCTGCAAACTCTATAGTAACCATGTGCAGAGAAACTGACTCGTCTTGAGATGCAGTGATAGTGACAGAAGCCTAAAGGTTGATGGTAGCGCTATAACTTCAACTGTGACTGTTTCCAAGCCAAACACCAGAGACCAAACTCACTCCACTGTCTACGGTGCGTGAAGCATCATCTTCTTTAGAAATGTTTAATAATTAATAAGCGAACACGCCGCCTCATATTTGTTACCCAAACACCAGGCAGTGCCCGTGCCTCAGCGCCACATCGTCGGGCACCGACCACAAAGTCGAGCAGGAAGCGTGACGTTTAAGCGTTTGTCAGAACTTCCTGTCTGACGCAGTAGAGGTCAGCAGGTTTTCCTCTGTCACGGTTTATTTTATTGTGTTTTCACCGGAATCCGTCTTTATTAGTGCTGAGCAGAGCGCTGCGACCCGTTTCTCATTTATCTGAGACCAGAGTTTCAGTTTCTGGGCGTCTGATTCAAATACAGCATAAAGCAGAGAGTACGCTGCGTTTCTGAAAGGAAGAATAAGTTTTTACGCTGCTCTGGATCTTTGTAGCTTCTGTAGCGCAGTTGGTCTTCAAAGCTGTGGTGTAATTTATCCCCGGCGCCTCACGTGAACAGTGTTCCTCTGTTATTTTTATGTGGGAAGGAACTACTTTTTCAGATGTCGTATTATTATGTGCACGAGTCACTTTACCTCAGCTTTTTTCCCCTGTGGGATAAATAACGCCTTTTTTTGGACTGAAGCGAGGCAGGTAAAAGGAGCAGAAACCTTTTTCAAATTTCACTGACAGCATTTTATTTCCCACTCCCACACTTATTGTTGGTTTTTTAAAATGCTGCATATTGATTATTGATTCCAGCTGTCAGGAGCTGATTTTGAAGGCACCCGAAAGTGGCGACAGTCTTTCAAAAGTGACACCGTAAGAAGTGGAGTGTCTGCCTCGTTTACAGCAGTTTGTCTTGAGGAAATCATTTGAACCGATTCTATTTTGATAAGCAGAAAGCCGTGTAGAAACATTAAGACTTTCAATCTTCTGTCAGAACAGACAGAGGAGGGAACAACCGGCTCACTCTGTCATCACACTTTGCCCCAGGCGGAGCCTTTTATCTATCAAACTTTACCGCACCGGGGGGTCTGTTGCTATTTTTGGGCCTCCAATAATGTTTTTTTCCCTAAATTTTCCTGAAGTTGGTGTTTGTTGCTGAGCGGTTGTAGCCAAAACTCACACAGCTACACACACAGACGGTGATTGGCTCGAGTGGGTTTGTTTGTAGCCTGGGATCGAGGTGTTGGCTTCAACACTGACAGGCTGGGAGAGGAGGGGAGGGGGGACACGGGGGACCAATGAGGGCCTCGCTGAGTTAAATCAGTTCAGTCTGTAGGTGGTAAAACCTGCAGCCACACATTCAATTCACTTCAATCCATCCATCCATTTTCCTCGCCGCGCGGCCAGCTCCGGTCACCGCGAGGCTGGAGCCAATCCCAGCAGGACACCGAGAGGCGAGGACAGTTTATTCAAATGTGCCAGTTCACAACAATAAACACCTCAAGGGGATTTAAATGGTAAAATAAAGGCGTTATAATATTTATTTATTTATTTTTCCAATGTGAAAAAAATGTGATGGTGCCCTTTGAGTAGCATTTGGTGATGGTGGGGAGGAAGAACTCCCCTTAACAGGAACAAAGACTGAGATGTAAGAGTGAGAGGTGGAACAGATAAGACTCAATGATGTTTCAAAATAAAACAGGAAGTGAGTAGATGCAGGTGAGGGAATAAAGCTCAATAGTGTTTCAAAATAAAACAGGAAGTGAGTAGATGCAGGTGAGGGAATAAAGCTCAATAGTGTTTCAAAATAAAACAGGAAGTGAGTAGATGCAGGTGAAGGAATAAAGCTCAATAGTGTTTCAAAATAAAACAGGAAGTGAGTAGATGCAGGTGAGGGGATAAAGCTCAATAGTGTTTCAAAATAAAACAGGAAGCGAGTAGATGCAGGTGAGGGAATAAAGCTCAATAGTGTTTCAAAATAAAACAGGAAGTGACTAAACAGAGACCCAGAATGACTGTGCTAAGACTAAAGCAAATCTGGCCTCTGATTGTAAAACTTTGATCCAGATGAATTTAAGGTCTCCGTCGAGTTTCATGTAATGAGGTCGACTCTGTAGATTAGAGTGAAGCAGCAGACAGCCTCGGCCAAAAAGCTGAACGTGAGACCTGAAGTGTGTTTTAAAGACAGCCGCAGGAAGGCTTCAGCGAGCACAAACAACAGAAACACACAAGACACAAAAAAAGCACATGTTTTGTAGCTATTTGCGAGGGATGTTCGTGTCCGTGCGGGTTTGTTTGTTGTGGTGGAGATCCTGCCGCTGGACTGCACTGACCTCGAGGCAGCAGCGACGTACAGGGAAAAACATGAAGAAGAAAACTGCCGGAGAGCAAAGACGCAAACATTGCAGAAGTGGAAAAACATTCCACGTTTGTCAACGAAAGTTTGGTTTCTGGAGAAATTCCACCTTTTACACTCACACAGGAGGTAATTTGTGCTTCTCTCACTATAGAAGAATGGCCAAAATCAGAGATGCACCACTGAAAGATGTGATTCATGCTTCATTTAATTGCTTGAAAGGAGGTCATTTGTCATTTCTGGCATTTTCTAAAATAAGTGATTAATCATTTAACTAAGAAATAGCACTTTTATTGCCAGTGAATGCAATTCAGTTACAGGTTTAATTAAAAAACGCTGCCCTTATAACACGCGTTAAATACTTTCTGCCGTGAATGCACCGTTCAGCGGCCGTCTGCTGTCGCTGAACTCAAACATTTCAGAAATGACTCGGGAGCATTTCAGCAGCATCCTCTGATCGGCGAGCAGGAGCACAAATAAAACACGAAGCATCGATGAAACGAACCTCACAGGCTCAGCGAGGCCCGCGGATCCAAGGACAGCTGCTGACACCGAAACACGCCGAAACTCAAACTCACCGTTTATCCGGTCAGCCTCCCAGACGCGTCCTCCGCCATCTTCTTCTCTCTGTCCACGAGCAGCTCCCGCCCTCGCCTCGAGTCCTCCAGCCAGGTCCCGAACACCTCCCGCACTCCTCCGAGGACGCCCCCGTTCTGTCCCCCGTTCTTCAGCTCCGCCACGCTCTGCTGCCTCAGTCTGTCGGACCGAGAGCGTCACGTTAGATGGAACACATAGCAGGAAATACATTTTAACATTTTAAACAGCGAGAGAGTCGACTGATGTGGGATCACGGACGCTTTAGGAGTTTAACGAGTGCCCACAGAGCTCTGCTGGGGACGCTTTGGTGCAGCCAGCAGTTAAAACCTGTGTTCAGTGTTACTCTTAGTTATCATCTGCACTTCACATCTGAGAAAAACCAACGCAGACATTTTTCAGAATAATTTTCTCTGTAGCCCTGAAGACAGGGCTCCTGTCGCTGTTTTCACCCGTCTCGTTAGAGTCACGTAGTGACGACCAGTCCTATAATGATGCTGTCTGTTCAAGATAAATAAAACAATAAAAAAAGATTAAAAAATAATTAACGGTGAGGTAAAAATGTGAAATTAATGGGAGGGGAAGCATAAATGCCGTCCTGGGCCTAAGATTGTTGAAGGTTTAGATTTTCTCGTCATTAAAAACAGCCTGAAGCTGTTAAAGGAAACTAAGTGTTTTAGTTCCAGTGTCTCAGTGACGAGCAGCCACACGTGAAGCAAACATGAAAGAAAGGTGAAAGTGCGAGCAGCCCACACAAAGAAACTGGACTAAAAATCAGTCGTTTGTCCTTCAGCACCAACAAGAACTGTCAATCAGGTTTTTTGAGATGCCACTGAGGTGATTGTGCACAATCGTATTTAACGCGAGTGGGTCATAAGTGGAGCGTTTTTAATTATAATGAGGAGAAACTAATCACCGCAATAATTTAAAACTGAAGGAGGAAATTCTGTGGAAACAGAGCGAACCCACACATGACGAGCCTCTGTCACAGCCACGGAAACACTGAGACGAGCTGCGCGTTTGTGCTTTAAATCAGGCTTTACATCGGCAAATAAAAGGACGCGATTAACCCCGAACTCCCATCTGAGCGCCGCTGACAGTTTCCTTTATCGCTCTGCATTGTTCGGCTGTACGTCGCACGTCACGCGGCGCGCTTTGTTGCAGAGTTTATGAAATAAACAGCAGCCAGAAGGATTCGAGTGTGCTGTCAGTGCAGGTTCACGCCGTGGTGTTTTCAAAGGCTGAGCCAGAAACCCGGAGCAGGCTCACGGGAAGAATAAAAGGCTTGCCCAAATTATAGTGGAGATATTGGTTTCCAACGTAATGGCTGTGTTATTTGGCCAAACATGTCCCAAGCTCCTTGAAGGAGAGGCAGACTAAATAGAGTCATGTAGATTTGTAGGTTAATGTCCTGAAAACAATGTTAATGTGGCAACTAGAAAACAGCAGCACAAGCCCGCCGAGGGGAAGCGCAAATTTACTTTGGCTGCACAGGTCACCACAAAAGGTGCCAGTGGGTAGAAAACGGTGCTGAAAGTACCAGGGGTGCAGTTCGGTAAACACTGACTGCACGAATTATCGAGGAGAAGCGAAGGAGCGAGGTGGAATTTGGTGACTGGGATATAGGAATAAGATTGACTCGACTCTTTATGAAAAATTATTTTCATTTCCATCATTTCATCTACATAATAAAGGAGGTGGTCACACCGAGAAACGGGGGAATTATAGAGGGCTGTCAGCAGCTGTCAGTGTAGGACTACGTATCCGTGATTTCAGGGCTTAATTTGCTGTTTCTCTGCCAATTGTGGCAAATTATTCAGTCACTTTACATATACTTACGCAGCATTGTAAGAGTCCTTCACTACACGACCTGCTTTTAAAAACATTTCAGTAAAAAAGCAAAAGCAGAAAAACTTCCACATTATATCTTCATCCTGTTCTCACCGAATCAAAGCACTTCTCAAATGTAAGACTGAAACCTTAAATCACATCTCTGATCGACACACCGGGCTGAGACTGAGCGTCTCCTTCTTTGTGTTTTCACAGACTCGTATTGATGTCTTGATTAACTTGTTGATGCTGAATCATGATAGCCATCACTCCGCTTTAAAACGTTTAAAACCTTCTTGTAGATCAAACGAGGGCAGATAAATGGAGAACGACATGCAGCTTAAATTCCATTAACAGTTTAGTTTTCTTTATTCTGATTGTTTGCTTTATGTAAAAATGTAATCGTAAACATTTCACAGTAATTTTATCTGCCTGCATGACTGGTTAAACAAAGGGTTTCAACATTCATTACACAGGCCTGCAGGCCGGTCTGTAGGGAAGCCACCAACTGGTAAATGTTTACAGACAAGTCTGTGGCTTCCATGCAAATTACAGACAACTGCAGCAACCTGTTAGAGACCAAAACAATTCTAAGGAGGTTTTCAGTGCAGCACTGTGGACCTCTTTGTGACCAATTTGATGCTAGCATATTCCATCAAAGCCTCGCGAATGCTTGCAAAATACACACCTTTCCACTTACGACCAGTGGCTACCAGTGGATTGAAACGTACTATCCGGCAAAACGTGAACCGAAAGTCGTCAAGGGGAAATAAACCATGGACTCTTAGCTGGTAAAGTTTCAACTTTCAAAATTAGTGGTACTTAGACGATACCTCATAAGGTTGACATCCACAGCAAATGAAAATGCTTTTCATAAAAAAATCCTTCCAAAATTTTTAACTTAGGTTTCTGAAAATTTGCCTATTCAGCATGAGGTTAAAATAAAACCCTACCCTAACCATGGATGGGTCTGAATGAAAGGGTGACGGTGGTTCAGGGGGTTGGGAATCGCATCTGTAACCGGAAGGTCGCCGGTTCGATCCCTGGGCTCTCTGTCCTGGTCGTTGTGTCCCTGTTTACCCTACTTGCCTACTGGTGATGGCCAGAGGGGCCGATGGCGCGATATGGCAGCCTGGCTTCTGTCAGTCTGCCCCAGGGCAGCTGTGGCTACACCTGTAGCTGCCTCCACCAGTGTGTGAATGTGAGAGTGAATGAATAGTGGCATTGTAAAGCGCTTTGGGTGCCTTGAAAAGCGCTATAGAAATCCACTCCATTATTATTAATCCATTGTCTGTAGTGGTCCAGGTCTGGAGGTGACTAAGAGGCTAACCGCTAACAACAGATTGCCTTTCAATTATTTATTTGACCTATTTGGCAAACCCAAATGGAACTCTTAAAATATAATTTAAAATAACTTTTAAAAGCAAACATCTTCTCATTTCTGAATCTATGATTGTTTAGCATGTGGCTAAAACCTAGTTAACCCTACCCATAAGGCCATCTCTTGGACTGTATGAGGAAAACCACTTTATATTCTGTGTATTTCTTCTAAACAGAAAACATGTCAAAGTAAAGAACTGTGAATTAAGTACCTGCCAGCAAACTGGTCTTGGAGCTCATCGTGCTGTTGATTGTTGAGGCTGTTGGTGCGCTGGTCCATCAGCCAGCCCATCTCAACCTCCAGCACCTTACTGTTGTTGTTTGTTACGGCTCCTTCCTGACAGCGCTGGATGATGCTGGGTGGAATGTTTTCAGGGGAACACATAGGCAGCCCCTGTCCTCCATTCACGCCATTGTTGTGAAAAAGTTCTGCCAAGTCCATGCTGCCGCTCTGCAGCCGACTATCGGTGAACCAGCGGGCCAGTTCTCCGGGAGCCAGTCCTGTCCGACCCTCCAGCTGGCTGAACTCCTCAGGGGAAGGCCACCGCGTTTGAGCAAAATCGTCCTTGAGGAGCGCCAGGGATCGGCCGTCTGGAGGCACTGAGCAGGAATTCAGATTGGGGACGGAAGGTGCAATGGTGCCAGGAGCAATCATGGACAGGGGGTGTGAAGTTGGTGGAGGGCTTTTAAGGAGGCCTACACCGGTGCTTGGTTTGTGAATCCCATTCAGTTGCAGTGCTTGGTGCTGATGTAGCTGTTTCTCAGTGATGGCACCAATGCCATTGCCGCCCATCCTTTTAGTGCCCATGGAGTTCAGAAGGGCTTGCTCCAGGTTGTCACGAAGCGCGCGGCGCTCTGCAAACCAGCTGTCGATTTCCTGATGAGACAGGCGGGTTATGGCCGACAGATTATCCACGTCGCTGTGTGTAGGAAAGCTGTTCCGCAAGAAGTTCTCCTCCAAGATCTTCAGTTGTTTTGCCGTTTTTCCTTTCATCCTCTCCAGCAAGGGGAACTGGGTCAGCACCGAGGACTTATGTTGAAAATCTGGTTTTGGTACTGCTGGGATGTCCCCACCGTCCAAATGTAAGATTCCATTATTGTGACCAGGAGAGGTCTGATCAAAGGGCCATTTCCCGTCCATTCGAGACGTTCCATTGGCCTCTGGCAGAGGACTGACTACCTTGTCTCCTCTGGGGTAGCTGGCTTTCAGCTCCACTCCTTGCTGCTCTTTTAATTTCTTGCCATCCAAGGAGAACGCTGAAATCTGGGATGGAGCTTTAGCCGGAGCACGGATGGACTGGATAATTGTCGGCCTCCTTACCTGTGAAGTAATGAGCGGAGGGGAGTTCGGCAAATTTAAATCAGAAGCTGGCAAATTGTGAGAACTGGGGTGTTTTTCTTTGGAAGGGACGGGCACGGTACGGGGAATAAGTAAACTGTTTCTGAACGGAGAGACAGAGATCGGTGGGGGGGCAATCATTGGCCTTGTTAACGACTCTGGAAAGACTATGGAGGGCAGAGACACCACCGGCTTTGTTTTGGGATTTCCTGACGCCGAGAGAATCTTCCCTTTGGAAGACAAAGATGATGATGACAACGATGGAGGCGGTGGCATTAAAGGCACAGCAGCGGATGACCTCTTCATCTCTGTGGTAACCAGAGGAACTGCTACAGGTCTTTTCATCTCCACGGGAACAAGAGGTGGAGCCATTGGGAGGCGGCCTTTTGGGGGAGGAGGTGGTGGGGGAGGAGCCATTAGGACCTTGTCTTTAGGGTCACCAGAGTGGGGCGCCACTGCCATGATGGGTCGCTTGGACTCAAACACTGTTGACAGCTGTGTCGGCAGGGGTCGCTTAAGGGAGTGGCTAGAGCCTGCCGGGGAGTTTGTGGTGACTACAGTTAGCCCATTGGGCGCAGTCGTCCGGACGTGACCGAGATGCTCGACTGTCGTGTGGACGATGGGCTGCTGTGAGGCTTTGGCAGACGGCTGAGAGATGGGGCTTGTAGGCAAGACGGTGAACGTGTGATGAGCAGGAGGGATGGAGCCATTAAACATTTTCTTCCTGGCTTCCTCCACCTCTTCTGGGGACCAAGTGATACCTTGCTTCAGCCGCTGGGTAGTGAACCAGACTTTGATCTGTTCCTCCGGGTGCTTGGAGGCAGCTGTAAGCCATGACAGCTCAGCATGCGTTGGGTATGGGAATTTATTAAAGGAGGCGATCAGCGTCAGGTTGTTGTCTAAAGAAGGGTTATATTTGGTGGTGTTCAAGGGAACGGCTATTTTTGGTACAGAGTTAAAGTTGGGTGGACGCTGGAGCATTGGGGTGACATGGGAGAGCCCTTGGACGATGGTGGGTTCAGGGATGATGACTGTTCCGTTGATGTTCACTGCTGTGATTTGGTCCTTCTGGATCAAACCGTCCAGCTGGCTTTTCAGTTCGCTCCCTCCAAAGAGCGTGTGCACACTACCCGGAGATTTCACTGTGGTAGATATGCAAGGTGAAAACACAGAGCTACTGTGGCTTTCACCTTTTTCATTTGTCACGTCGCATTCAGCTGAATTGTCCTTGCCTTCGATTGTCTGCTCTAAGATAGTCTGATTGTTCATTTTTATCCTCTTGAACTTGAAGTTCGTCTCACCTGGGTGCCGGCTCTCGTTGTGCTCTGTGAGCGAGTCAAACTTCTTGGTGTTGAAGTTGCAGACAGCACAGAGGTACAGTGGATTTAGAATGACGTTAGGATGGCTCGAGTCCACGTGTTCTTTGAAGTCATTCAGGTTCTGCGTCGAAAACGGGCAGTATTTGCACTCGTAACCTCTTCCCTGCTTCTTCTGGGACACCGGGTCTGATTCTGGCGCTTCTTTGTCCTTCCCCCCTCTGGCTTCTACATCTTCGATGACAGGGGGGTGATCTTCACATCCAGACTGCTGCTCTTTGTCTAAGTGTTTTGGAAATGCCTTCCGGTCTGGATTATCTCCATTATCCTTCATGAGGTTTTGACTCTTTTTCGCAGATTCAGGTGGTTCATTTTCTCTCACATCTTTGCTTGCCAATATTTCCATGTCCATCACCTCCTCCGGGTCATCTTGTTCATCAGGCAGGTCGCTGATGACCCGGACCATGCAGGGGGTGGAGGACTTTCTACGACTGGACATGATTGCGGCTGCTGCTGCTGCTGGTGATGATGGTGGTGCTGGTGTTGCTGATTGTGTTGACGATATTGTTTTTGGCTGCTGCTGCTGCTGCTGGTGCTGGTCGAGGACGTCAGCGTGTCTGCGTTGGGGGGTCTTTACTGGGGCGGAACGGAGCAGGTGGTTGTGGAAAGTGGTAGGCGGTTGGATGTGGAGTCTCCAGTGTGTGAGAGGGAGGGCGAGAACCGGCTGACGGCGCTGGCCCAGGACCGGTTGTGCAGTGGCGTCTCCCGCTCACTGGCAGTGTCAGCTACCGACCTCGGCGTCATGGGAGGGCATCACAGACAGCAGCGGCGTTCAAGCTGCACGGGGACGAAGACAAAGAGAGAAAACGACACATTAATACTGTTTGTGTTCAGTGAGCTGTGAGGAAGCCACTTAGAAAGGGCTAAAAATCTGAGAAAAACATGTCGGAGAGAGAAAGACGTCACTATAATAATGTTTGTGTCTGATGTTCACTCCAAACAGGATAAACAACAGGGAAAGTGCATGATGGGCAATGAAAGAAAGAGGGGAAAACTAGATAATCTGCACTTTGGTAAACAAGCCTTTTTGATGAAACATCCTTTGTTTGAGGTGAAATCAGCACAGGAACAGGAAAAAAGAGTGGAGAGAATCACTTATAGGGATACAGTTTTAATCAAAAGTTTATCATCTTGGACATGAATGTTTTAGTAATGCTTTCATATTTCACAATTTCTGAGAACTTTTTCTGGAGCTGAATTATTTCACAACCTCTAAGATTATGAGAAAAAGAAACAAACTCAATAATTTAGTGAACAAGTTTTAATTTATTTTAGATTTCCTGAAATAAACACAGGGTGAAAATAATATATACGAGGTCAAGAACATTTATACACCCACTTAGATGTCCTAACCAGCCACGGTCGAGTCTCTGTGCCAACACATAAAGGGAAATCGTTCGACTGACTGATGCACGGCGACATGTGAAAATCTGGGGAGCTTAGATAAGTCAGGGATATCTTGGAGTCGTTTCTAAAGGACTGCATGTTCCAAGATCATCCGTTCAATCCACTGTTTCTTCTCAGGAAGTGCAGCTACTGTGCCAAGGTCTGAAAAACTATCCAAACTTTCACCCTGAGCTGAGAGGGTGAAAGCTGCTCTGGTTGGTCCGAACAGACCTGCCATGAACTGGAAACGGCTCAAACATCAGCGTTACCGCCTGCTGTCCAGATCCCCAGTGGCTAAAATACGGACACCTCGACTAAAGTTTGAAACTGACCGAGTGCACAGTGAAAAATGTCCTCTGAACCAAAGTTTTATGATTGCATGAGGAAAAAAAACGAGTTGTAGGACACACTTGCTCGTTGGTTGAATCATCTTATATTAACTATATAATTGTTGCAGCCAGACCGAGCTAAACCCACAAAGTCAGCACTGCAAACCAGAGACGCTGCCTACCAGCGTCAAACAGCTGTTTATGCTGATGACGGGTGGTTTAAACACACAACAGGTTTCTGGATTTGTCGACCGTAAACAGACTCTATCTAGAACTGTGTAGTCCATAGACTGGACACTAAAGGCCTGACCCTTTTCTAAAGTCAAGTTTTCATCAATAGTTATCCGGAGAGCTGGGAAAGCTGTCACTGTGAATCTGCCAGGGCTAAACTTAAAAACTACCACCACAAAGTCCCAAAGCATGCAGACTGATGAAAGCTTACACAAAGAAAATTAAGTCCAGCCATGGGAAGGACGGGAAAACTTTTATTTTGCTTTTTTGCACATGGAGAACTTGGAACGGTCCATGCTAGTGTTTTCTCTAACATGCATGGATGTAGTCACCTATCGGTTATTAAAGTCCGGTCTTAATGTTTGCCGTGGCCACACACCTGACAGTCAGACGGTAGGCCCGTTAAGTTTTTACTGGAATGGGACAAAAACTTTACGAGGTTAATGTTTGTTCAGCGAGACGTGAAACTAGCGCCGGAGACCACAAACTCATCAGGAAAGTGTTACTGAGGCCGCAGATCAAGTGAGCCGAGGGCCACAGGCTAGAGGAGTCGCCCCCTGCGGGCCAAAAGAAAGAACGCAGGTTTATGGCACTATCAGGCCTAGATGTTGATTTTTCCCATACATCTGTAATTCAAACAGGGACTTATTACTTGCTCCTATGGTTACTAGAGAGCGTAATTACTACTCTACTGACCTCTAGATGCTTCTCGCAGGCTCTGCAAGGCTAATAATTTCAAGCATTCCCGTATGAAGAGTACCTATAACCATGTTAGGGAAACAAAGTCAGCCATTTTTACTGCCCACAAGTCATGGCGAAACCCTCTGGAGCAGATCTGATCATTTTGTAACTCCCCATCCAAAGATGGGAGGTTCCAAGCTTAATTAGCGACGTGATATTTTGCGTCTCCTTTCCTGTAATGTCCGAGCCAGGTCTGTCAGGCCTGTTGGCGCTCATCTTAGCATCGCACTGGCTCCGTCGGGTCCGGTCTAATCAGGCCCTGGCAGGCGACAGCGTTTGCTGACAACACCAGAAGGCCAGAAGTTAAAAACAAAGGAAGTCCGGCTGACAACTCGAGACGCCACGCTCGAAAATTATGATGAATCAGAGTGCCACTTAATCAGGACACGCCGTTCCAGGCCAATCACATGTAAATGCGATAAATTGAAGACGTCCACGGCAACTACAAAAGACAAAAAAAGTCTCCAAACTCCAAACCCCATTAAAAAGACATTAAGCGCCTTTCATAGATTCGGGCAAAGACAACTTCACAGGATAATTACCCTGTAATCATGTAATAAGAGAGACTCAGTGATGAGATCTCCTGACAGCTATCATCCACACAATGGAACGGAGAAAGTGAGGTAAAAACAGACGGGGAAAGAGAGGAAGATAGGTGTGAATAAATACAGAAGAGTGCAATAATAAAAGGAGGACAAAAGGAAAAAAGCAGGTAAATGGGAGGAGAGAGAGGAGAGAGAGTGGCGAAGGCGCGCAGAGATAAGGGGAAAAAGAAAGAAGGGAGAGTCTGAAAACTTCCAAACTAATGAAAGAGAACAGGCACAAAGCAGAAGACGTTTTAACTAGGCCATGGCCTGGCAGACAGAAAGAGAGAGACGACGGCGAAAGAATGGAGGAGAAGAAGAGCGAGAAAAGAAGGCAGATAAACATAAAGGAGGAGGAGGAGGAGGAGAGGAAAGGGACAACAGAGTGTTTCAGGAGGAAGAAAAAGGGAGACGGGGAAAGATAAGCAGAGAGCAGAGGAACAGAGAGTAAGAGGCACAATCGAAAGCAGATGAAGAGAACGAGAGAGATGAGAGGACGACGAAAACATTTCCATTTGACAGTAAAATTTTAACGGATAATAAAATGAGGTTTTGGTGCACTTTCTATCAGGAAAGTTGAAGCTTTGAAAAGGTGCCCCAATCAGTTGGGGGAAAAACACATTTGCCAGGGAAAAAAATGGGTACTTCAACACTTAATTAGTATTGGGCAAGCTGTTATTTGTCCCATGTGTCACTTAATGCTGGACATATTTCATGCTCTCGCAGCCTTGATCAGCTTCTCATCGCCTGCACGGGAGACACATTTTATAGCTGCAGAGTATCCAGAGCCCGTCTGAATTGTTGCACTGTGCAATGAGACTGAACTAATCCTATGTTATTATAAATCTCATGCATTTACATTGCTGCTTATTGCACGCTTCGGCTAATGGCGTTTCCTCAAACAACGAGCATAAAAACACCGACAATCAATTCATAAAAAAACGACTCGAACCCAAACATGTCCGACGCGCTCGCCTCGAGGAGTTCAAAATTTCAGTCCCAAACCTCGTTGGAAAGAACCGAACGCACCGCGGGGCGAATAGATGCAATCCAGAGTCCACCTCCTCCCTCCGTCTGCCTCTAAAACCTGCTGCTGCAGCACAGCATGACCCGACCCCGCGCAACCTGATTAGACTGAATATGGTTTTGGACCCAGCCCAACTCAAGTCCCTGGGTCAGGTCTCGGTTACTGGGTAACCAGAGGGGCCTGTGAGGACCTGTAGCCTGTAGCGCCCGAGTACCGCAGAGTTCACGAGTTTAAAAAGTTTCACTTGGAAATGATTTAAAAATGACTGATAGGAGTAAAGGGCAGGCCCGTTCTGCTTCTCCCGATTTAAATCTGTGTTGGTGCTCAATTATCAGTGAAGTCTGTGTGAGGACTTCTACTATGGTCATCTCAGCCACAGAAGCCCCACCCACCGTTTAAGAGGGGCGACCAATCAGAAGAATATTAGCTTAATGGACCAAAGCGCTGTACCAGGTCCCAGCGTAAGAGACGTGGCTCAGTCTGAGACTGAAAACACGGAGCTGGAAACGAGCCGAACGCCACATCACCGTTTACTTCCTGCTTCGCCGCGACGCTTCTCTACCAGCCATCTCCGCCCACACATCCACAGTGTTTCCTCTGTGAAAAGAAACCCACACAGGCACGAGGAGAGAGCCTCAGCCGGGACTCAAACCCAGGACCTTCACGCCGTGCGGCACCAATGATGACTGAACCACCGACCCTGCATCTGAAGGGAAGATGCAGTGAAGGATGTAAAAACATAACCATACAAAAGTCTGGCGTGGGGCACGGGAGAGACTCTAAAACAGGGGGTCGAACACGCTGAAGTGTCCGGTTCAGGCCTCGCGGACGTATCTGAGCGTTTCACAGGATCCCAAACTGTAACGTGAGTTTAATGAGGCTGGAGAAACGTTTTTCTACAGACATCTCGTGCCGTTCGTCATCTGTTTGCTAATGAAATGCTCATTAAATGAGAAAAATAATCCAACAACCTGTCGTCTGGCTAATTTTAAACCGAGCGTGGCAGCGGTTGTTTTTCACCTGCTTCCAGCTTTTATAAAATCTTGGCTCCGCTTCAGGAGACACATTTATTTACGCTCAACGGGAAAAAATTTGGAATATTTGCATCGTGCATCGTTTTACTGACCCAGCCAGCTCACCCCTGCTTTAAAGGCGAGTTGCACTTACATGTTATTTAATGAGGCTTGATTAAACACTTTGTGTCCATTAAATTAGGATTTTATAGTTTAACGCAGAAATACATCCAGTAACCTTCAAAGAGAGGCTGCAGAAACGCTCTGTTGCTCTTTACACCCACACAAACTGCAACGCTCCAATCTGAGCCACACCCACATTTCCAGACACGGAGGATAACCCGCTGCAGCATCGGTCCGCCCTAACCTGTGAGAGCAAGCAGCTGATCACAGCTTTTAGAGATGCCCAGGTGCGCGTTTACGCTAAAATGGGAGTTAAGCTGCTCTTAAAAGGCACTCCAGGAAA